CCAGTTGAGCCTCAGCTTCTCAACCTGGCCTTCACGCCTGGCCTGGCAGCGCCTGCCGTCCTTGGCACCTTGTGGCCAGCACCAGCCCAAGAGTTCCCACACCTTCACCCCTCCTGGCCTGGGCTCCCGCAGCTGCCACCACCTGGAGGGGCCATCACCCTGAAAGCATCTACTCACTCCTGCTAAGTCCACTCACATGGCCTCCAGAGAAGCCCACGGGCACCTCCCTCACCAACAGCCAGCCCTGAGCCACTGTCTGGCCTAGCCTCCGGCTCCCAAACCCCCTACCTTGTGCCTGTCCTTCCCACCTGCCTGCCCAGTCCCGGGTCTGCCAGGAGGGGACCCAAAACCCAGAGCCCCAAAGGGAGCTGACTTCTGGTGTTGGTTCAGGGGATGGGAGTAGGGTGTCATTATTTGAGAATTTATGGAACTGTTGATGGGTAGGATTGAACTAGAGAGTGGGAAAACTCAGGCTCCAGCCCTTCACCCTTCTGTGGGCCTGGCTTTCTCTACCAGCCTGGCCTCTGGGGTCCTACCCACTGGGATGGGCTATATTCAGAACTCAGATCATAATACAAGGCAGGAACTATGGTGGGAGGACAGGATGATGTGGGTCTGTGCACTCTGGCAGGTGGGTGGGCATCCGAGCTGCTTTCCTGCCACCACCCCATGGCTGGATCTCCTGGCTGGGCCCTTCTAGCCCCTGCCTTCCTGCCTCTCTTACAAACAGGTGCTTGGAGGTGGGGGTAGTGGGGCAGGGTAAACGAGCCAGCAAGATGCCTCCTGAGACCTCAGTAGGTTTGGGTGACAGTACCAAAGCAAACAAACCCCAACGGACAAAGCAACCCCACTCCCGTCGAGTCGATGCCAACCCACGTGACCCTTGCTGCAGAGTAGACCCACGTTGGTTGCAGGATTTTGCAGAAGCAGACAGCTTCACAGGTTTCCCAAGGAGCAGCTGGCAGTCTCCAAGCACTGGCCTTGCAGCTAACAGACCAAATGCTTCACCCACTGTGCCACAAAGGCACCTTTTTGGGGGCAGTAACCCACTGCCATCGAGTAAAGCCAGCTCCCAGCAACCCTGGGCAAGGTTTCTGAGGCTTCTAGATCTTTGTGGGAGCAGGAAGTCTCCTCTTTACCCCTCACAGCAGTTGGTTGGCTTGAACCACTGACTATGCAGTTAGCAGCTCAGCACCTAAACCGACAGTGCCACAGGGCTCCTTTGTTGAGAACAGCAGAGAGCAGTTAATTTGTCAGTGAACAAGAAGACAAGGTTGGACAATCTTCCAGCTCTTTCCAAGAAGGTCAAGGGGAACCTGGTACTTAGCACTGCCTGCTGCAGTTACAGAAGTGCCCAGGAGGTGGGGAGGAGGGGGGAGTGGGGAGGGGACAGCAAGTCTGTCTAAAAAGTCAGAGAGGGGGTAGCAGTAGAGAGACCAACATGATGGGGAGAGAAGGGGGGGGGGGGCACACAGGATCCCAAGACTGGGTACCAAAATTGAAGGAGTGTAAGCCCAAAGCTTAGACGAGGGTTGAAGTGTAGAGTCTGTCAATCCAGAAAGGAGAGATAGACTGCCTAGAAATAGAGTCCTAAACGTGACAGACTGTGGGACCCAAGGGAAAGACAGGCAGACACACAGTAGCCTGGTGAGAGAGACAGGCATGGGAGAAAAGGCGCCACCTGCCAATGGGGGGAGACAGGCGGGAAGCTGGGAACCGGGAATGGGAGGGAAGCCTTGCTAGGAATGAGGCTGAGACATCTGGCCTGCTGGGCAGGGGCTGCAGGCCCTGGAAGAGGAGGTGGGGGGGGTGTTTCCTCTCCTGGGGAGCAGGCGGGAAGAGAGAGAGAGGCAGCAATAGCAGCTGGCCGCCTGGCCATGGGCAGAATGTGGGGAATGCCAGCCGCCTGTCCCGGCATGTCCCCCAGCGGAAGCAAATGCCTAGCAGGGGGCAGGAGCAGGCAGGCTGCCCTGGGCCACCCCCTTGCACCTGCTGCCCTCTGAGTGAGGGTCAGGCCCCGGTATGGGCAGGCAAAAGAGGCCAAGCCTGTGGCTTCCTCCCTAGGCCACCAGGCACGGTTCACCCTCCCTGGCTCTAAGCGGGGCAGGCCCCTGAGGAGTCTGTGTCCCAAGGGAGTAGGGAAGGCCCCAGTGGGGAGAACAAATGGAGTTGCTGGCTGGGAACCCAGGGGTCACCTAGCTACTTTGGCAGGGGTGGGGGTGATTGGGACACCCCAACCCCCACCCAGGCTAAGCCCTGGGCAGATTCTGACGACCGGGCAGCACCAGTCCTCCCCTTGGGCACTGGTGCTGACCACCTCAACTTTACTTCCTGGGTGGGCTTCAATGAAAGGCCCTGAGCCTGAGGACTGGGAATGCGGCAAATGCCCCCATCGAGGGCAGTTGGATGACTGTTACTGGCCCTGTTACCCAGCCTGATTTAGAACCTGGGCTCTTGAGGCTCAATCCCCTCGTTCAAATCCTGGCACTCTCTTCCTAGGTGGGTGATAAGCAGCAAGTCACTTAACCTCCCCGGAACTGTAGCTTTCACCTCAGCCAATCAGAATTCCTTAGTTAGGCAGACCTCAGTTGGGAGGAGGAGCCCCCATGGCGTCACCATTGGGCTGGGAACCACAAAGCCGGCAGTTCAAAACCACCAGCCGTGCGCTAGGGAGAAAGACAGGGCATTCTACTCCCGTGACGGGTAGAAACCCACGGGGGCAGTTCTACGCTGTGCTGTAGGGTCGCTATGGGCCGCCATCGACTCCACAGCAGTGAATTTGGTTTTTTGGTTTGAGGGGGGAGGGGCGGGCGCCGTGAGTTCACAGGGCATTTGCCGAACATGCCTCACACGTGATCTCGTGTTGCCGTGACTGGGGTGGTGATTAATTGGTGATGAGGCTCTAGAGTTCTGGCAGTCAAGAGAAGGGGCCCCCCCGCGCTGTCCCCGCCCAGCCTGGACAACCATCTCCAGGAGACCTTTCAAGAAGTGACTCCCCTTGCCTCAGCTAGAAAATGGTCCCAGGAGTCCCCCCAGGGTTCCTGTTGTGGCCAACTCCAGGGAATTGTGCGACAATACCCACCGTGAGAACTGCTCCGTGGAGGACGGCAGCCTGCCTCCTGCACACTTCCCGCATGATCTCCAGACGGCCCAGCCCCACTGACCTCTCCTCTCTGGGGTCTGCACAGGGAGCTCCAGAAGGGCAAGGCCCGCTGCTCTGCAGCCAGCCTGAGAGGAGGCAAGCACCAATCCCCTCCTGTCCTGACTTCCCAGCCTCAGGGATCAGCGGCCCCAAGCTCTGCTCCGCCCACCGTGAAGCCAAAGCGGGGTCCCACCTGCTCCAAAAAACCCCACCCCCGCCCCCTGGCTCCCTAATGCTCCCAGGATAGAGCTCAAATACCTTCTGGGGACCTCGCCCCACCCAACTCTGGCTGACCAATCCAGCAGCCGCATCCTCAGACTCCTCCGCCTTCTAGAACCTTCCGCTTTGCAAATTCCACTTCCACATTGTCTCCCACCCCCACCTGCCTGGCCCCCCTCGCTCCTGTGCACTCTTCAATCTTCAGTACTGTTCCTGGGTCTCTGGTCGCTCTTTCAGGAGCCCCCACTCCCCCAGCCCCATTACTCCCCACTGGACTGGGCACCTCCTTTGGCCTTCCACAGAGCCCCCAGACTGGCTCTGACGGCTCTGGGCTGCTGCTGTCCAAGGACAGCCTTGTCTATTCTGGTGGCCCCAGTACCACTCAGCACAGGGCCAGGCTCCAAAGGGCCCTCAGCCCACAAAGACAGGCGGGCAGGCAGACAAGGAAAAGATGCCAGGGAACGGACTGGTGCCAAGGGAGGTCTGTCACCCTCCTGTGCATTGTCCCCACGAGGACTGGCCCGCACCCCCACCCTTTTTCCCACGCCCGTGCCCCCCCCCCCCACTCCAGTGGGTCCTTAGGAGCCAGGAGTCTTCTCAACTCCCTCTTCCCCAGAAAACGCCTGTGAAGCCTGGTCCTGACGTCGCTGACCCCCAGCCCCAGGATAGCCAGACTAGACGTGCACCCTCAGGCGGGCCCCAACAACAGCCTCAGTCACCCTCTTCGGCACAGACTGTGTTCACGTGGGGGACAGGACACAAAGGGGCAGGTGAGGCTTTGACCCGAGCTAGGGTCCTACCTCTACCTAGCAGCGGCGGACTTCCAGGTGCCTCAGCCTCCCTGTCCTCTATGTCAGTACCCTGATGAGCGCACACCAGCCTGTAAGGAGCCCGGGTGGCCCATCGGTCTAAGCACTGGACTGTGAACCACAAGGGAGGCGCTTCAAACCCACCAGCCCCTCACCAGGGATTTCTGGTGTCAAAAACGGCAAGAAAGTGTTCTACTCTGCAGATGAGCTGGCAGCGGCTGACGGTGGCTGCGAAGACCAAATGAGCTAATACTTGGCAAGGGCTTCAAATGGGTCAACTGCGAGGGTTATATCACAGGGGGTGGGTGAGCCGTGGGGGGTCAGGAGCCCAAAGGGTCCCTGGTGGTGCCAAAAGGTTAAAGTTCTCAGTGCTAAGCACCTGCTCCTCGGGAGAAAGAGGAGGCCGTTTGAGAGGAGGCCGTTTGCTTCCGGAAAGGTTACAGCCCCCAGGGAGTCGGAACTGATTCGACGGCAACAGGTTAGGTTTGGGGTTGGGGAGAATTTGAGGAGCGACTCATGTGCGTGCCTGACCCTGTGATGGCCGTGCATCGGGGTCATTATGATGTTTCCCCATCAACTTCCCGGGGATGGGGTAAAGGTCCGAGGGCTGCCACCCACCCCCTCCGACCCAGGGGTCAGACTGGAGGTTCCAGGGGCAGGGCCTGAGAAATGTCACCCTGGGTGTTCCCCTGTGCAGCCCACATGGGCTCTAGAGGCACCTTCTCTGCAGAGAAACTGCTAACCTCCCCTTGTCCCCCTCCTGAGGCGTGGAGCTCACTCACAGTTCTGCTCAAGGGCATCCCTGCCACCCATCCATCGGCACATCTTACCTGTCCCGGGCCGGCCCATGATGACCTCCTTCTTGGGGGCAGGATGGCTGGTGTAGCTGCTGGGCACGAGGACGGGCAGCAGGGCGGCGGGTGAGGGGTGGAAGGCCACAGGCTGGAAGGGCGAAGAAGCCAGGCCAAAGGTGGGCATCGGCTGGGCCACGGCAGTCGGCGCGGCTGGAGGCACAGTGATGGGTACGGGGGCCGGCAGGGGCGGGGGCAGGCTGGGCTTGCCACTGGCCGCCCCGGCAGGGGCTGGAGTCTCCGTCTCACGGCAGCCCCGCCCGGGGCCCCCTACCCGGGCCTCACTGGCCAGGCCTGCCTCTCCTGGGAACTTGGAGGGAAGCGGGACGTCGGGGTTGCGGACGATGACGGGCGAGTCCCGCTGCACGGCGGGCACCCTGCGCACGGAGGGCCCCGGGTCCGAGGTCAGGCCGGCGGGCGGGGGCAGCAGCAGCAACGGGGAGGGCTGGCGGGATCGGGAGAAGGGCACGGCGGGCGACACGGCGCGGAAGCCGGCCGGCGTGGAGGGCGTGGGGGTGTGGGACACCGAGTCCACGCCCGAGTCCAGGCTGTCGCTCTTGGAGAAGTCCGGAGCGGTGCTCCCGGGCCCAGCGCCGGGCGCCCCCAGGACCCCCGAGTGCGGCAGCAGCTCCGTCTTCCGCCGCCCGGGGCTGATGGGCACAGTAAAGGTCAGGTTGGTCTGGAAGGTGGGCAGGATGCCGGAGGAGTGGCGCTCCCGGGGGGCGGGCGGCGGCGGGTGGGGGCCCAGGTCCGGCGGGGTCAGCATGCCGGCCTTCGGGGTGCTGGCGCTCAGGTGGCGGCTGCGGACGGCGGTGCGCTGGATGACCGGGGAGGCGTTGATGGGGCTGAAGTTGGCGGGCCGGAAGCCGAAGAGGGGCGAGGGCGAGGGCGAGGGGGCGGGGGAGAAGGGCGACTGCGTGGAGACCGGGGAGAAGGAGGGCGTGCCCGAGCGCGAGCTGCCCAGGGACACCAGCATGACGGCCGCCTCGCACTCGTCGAACTCGAAGCGGGACAGGTCCGCCGGCGCCACCAAGCGTGGGCGCGAGTCTCCCCGGGCGGCCACGCTGCTGGCCTCGCTGTCCCGAGACGTCTCGTCGCCCCAGTCGAACTCGGTGCTGCCCTCCCGGGCCGCCACGCCGCCCGTCCGCCCGGCCCCGCCGGGCCCGCCGTCCGCCAGCCCCTCCATCTCCTTGGTCCGCATGGACAGGTGGCGCGAGCAGTAGCCGCGGCGCTGCGACTCCTTCATGCAGCCGTCCCGCGAGCACAGCCGGCGCCACTGCTTGCCGTTGAACTTCTTGCGGATCCCGTTGGGCGTGCAGACCACGTCGCCCTTCTTGTACTTCTGCTGGGCCGCGGTCAGCGGCGTGCGAGCCCGGGCGGCCGGCGCGGTCCCCTTCTCCAGGGAGGCCACGCTGCTGCTCCGACTGCCGCCCTGGCTGCCCTCCTGGCAGGGCGAGAGCTGCTCCCCAGGGCGGCCGGGGCCTGCAAAGGCTGGAGACTTGGGGGGCGGCGAGAGGAGCTGGGGCGGAGGCAGGGGGAGCAGAATGGGCGTCGCGCCCAGGGCTGGCGGGTGCTTCCCTTCACCCTCCTCACAGGTCCCCAGGCTGCCCCCAAAGCTGATCTTGGAGACCTCCGCATCCTCGGGCTGCTTGGGGTCCAGTGGAGCAGGGCAGGGCGGCAGCGTGGCCCTGGGCTCAGCCGGTTCCTCCTCGGAGGCTGCGGGGGGCTTTCTCAGCAGGGCCTCGGGTTCCCACGGGGGCCGCAGCAGGCGCAGGCTGGAGCGGGCCACCCATACGGTCTCCTCCGGCTCGCAGTGGGGCGGCTGAGGGCCAGGCTGAGCACCAGGGCCAGGGCCGAGGCGGACCTTGTAGGCAGCAGGCTTGGTGGCCACCTCCACCACGACCCCCTCACGGTAGGCTGCCACGCCGGGCTCCACGCAGGTGCACACGGGCATGCCCACTGCCAGCGCACCAGGGGGCGGCGTGGCGTCGAGAACCACATCCACACCGCCACCTGCGCCCCCCTCGTAAAAAGTCAGGGCCCGGTCGCCAGGGAACTGCACGCCCAGGTCCTGGCTTCGGCGCACCTGCCGCACCACCGCCGGCAGGAAGAGGCCATCGCCGCGGCGCGCCAGGACCCGCTGGGACCGCAGCTGCCGCAGGTCATAGCTGCCTCCGGGGGTGCCAGGAGGCCAGGGCCCCGGTCCGCAGGCCTCGGCGGGCTCATCCTCCAGGTCGGCCGAATGCTCGCTGGCGGTGTCGGTGGATGAGGAGCGGGTGGAGGTGGGCGGCAGGGGAGGCAGGCCCAGGGCGCTGGCATCCTCAGGCGTCCGCTCCTGCTCCTCAGGGGCCCCAGTCCCATGCTCCTCCACGTACTTCTTCTTGGGCGCTCTCGACTTGAACGTAGCCGTCTTACGGCTCAGTGAGGGCTCCCAGCGGCCTGCATCTCCCTCCCCCTTGGGGTCTTCGGCTGGGCCCAGGACTGGGTCATCAGGGTGCAGCTCTGCAGACGGCCCCTCTGCCCCAGGGCCCCGTTGGGTCACCACCACTGCCGCCGCCACCACCGCCTCCTCGCCCTCCTCAACAGCCTCTTCTGGGCCTGGCTGCTTCGTGGAGGCCACCACCACCTCCTCCTCGTCCTCGGGCTTGTCACAGTCCCCAGCCCCTCGCCGTCGCAGGGCCTTGGCCCTGGTGGCTGGGGGGGACTTGCTGCCACTGCTGCCAGGGCCAGGGATCCCGGCACACGCTTTCTTCATGGGTTTCATCTTTGTCCCCACCCTCAGACACCTGCAGGGGGGGGGGAAAGACCTGGATCATCGGGAGCAATTCAGGAAGTCCCCTTGACAAAGCCAGTGAACCCCAAGATTTCCCACCCGCTGAGGCCACTGCTGCCTCCATTCCAAGGACCCCAAGGCCTCTTCTCTGGTCACCCTCAACTCTAAAGGGGGAGGGGGGGTCTGGCTAGCACCCAGCCACAGACTGTACACACATACTCGGGCTACCTCTGCACTGACAAGTTGCCACAGGGCCCCACAGTCAGACTCAGTGACAGTTTGCACCTATGGAGCCAGCACTCTCTGCCTGGCTCAGTGCTCACCTGGCCTTTCTCAACAGCCCTCAGTCCTGCCTCCGCCGCCCAAAGAGGCAGAGGGTACCCCCAGCCCCCTTCCCCCAGGACGAACCCAAGGCACAGGGGAGGGTGGGGGGTTTAAGCAATGCCACTCTGCCAGGGGCAGCTGGCTAGGAAACCAACGGCAGAGCTGGGGTCTGGACCTGGGAAGCTGGCTTCAGGGACTGAGCTTCTAACTGTTTCAGTGTGCTGCCTGTCACATGAGCCAGCAAGCACACGTCCTCACACTGTCACTGTCCAGGGGTCCTCTCACACTTACACACACACT